GAGAATCGAACTAGGGACCCTTTTCTGGTATTCAGAGGGCCGTTCAGGAAAAATGAACCATGGTTCTGTGGTCCCACATGTGCCCCAATGTCATGCAAGAAACCATTTTGAAAAAGCTTGGCACACCCTGAACGACCTCCCTTGTAAGTTGAGATGAACTTGCTCGGGCTGGAGGTAAGCAAACCAGCCCTTTTGGCGTTTCTGCTGGGGCCGTATGCTGAATGTTGGGGAGGGGATGGGGTCCCCGACGGTCGACGGACTACTTCAACTCGGTCGGTACGGTAGGAGAGTATGACGAAGTGGTGCAGCTGGTCCAGCAGCTCCGCCAAAAGGGCTGGTTTGCTCACCCCAGGACTAAGCCTTGGAGAGGGGACGGACCCGTCTCTCTCTCTCTTTAAGGCTTAGTCCTGAGGTAAGCATCAAATTGTGGCGGTTCTAAGGACCGAGTTGAAGTAGTCCGTCGACCGTCGGGGACCCCATCCCCTCCCCAACATTCAGCATACGGCCCAGCAGAAACGCCAAAAGGGCTGGTTTGCTTACTTCCTCGGGCTGCACGGACTTTGCGCAACCATGTTGCAACAGTCAGTACTACATATTTTATGAAAATAGGATGAAAATAGAAGAAAAGACCAAGAAAGAAAGTAATATGAAAAAAGTTCAAAAACCTTCATGCGAACTTCTGGTGCTCTCTAAAAGCGTGAAGGCCGAAAACTTGAACATTCACATTTTTGCATGAAATTCATAAGCATGACTCATACTAGGTTTTCATCTATGGTGAGCGGTTTGTCTATTAAGTCTCCCCATCTCTATCTACCTCACTTTGGTACCAAACAGTTGCGATCTGATGATATAACGGTGCATAGCTGGGTGTTGTGTTTTCATAGACAGTCGAAATCCGTCCTTGAACAAAATTTGCTGTATAAGGATTGCTTTCACATGCATTTGGATGATCGGCCGGCCGTTCGCCGTCGTGATTGATTGGTGAAAAGAAAGTTGTGAAATGTATCTCGGTCGAGATTCTCATTGTTTTGGTTGCGCTCATATTTGCTGTGAAAATCTAGTTGTTTCTAGTTATATGGTGGTCATAAGTAAGTAGGTAAATAGAGGTTGGGTAGAAATAGGTAATAAATAGAAGGTAGTAGAAGTTCAAAGTCCAGATCCATTTGAGAATGGTGTCATTCGTGGACTTTGAACTTCTCTACTTCCTTACTTTATTTTGGTTCCTTACTTTTTACGTTACTTTGGCTTCAAGCTTCTCACAATCAGTCTAGTAAATTCTTTGTTATTTCAACCTATGGAAATTGCTGGATGGTTCAAAAACGTCTGGTTGATGAATCAGCTAATAGCTGTTTTCTTTCCTACTAATTTACTCGATGACAATTCATGTGTGCTGCGTCTAGTCTTGATATTCGCCATGTAGTTCTTTTACTACCCTATGAACCCACAATATCGCCGTTCAGACTCGATCATTGAATTCCATATCTGTAGAGGGAATAGATGTACTAGACGCATATCACTTGGGCCATCAGGTAGGGATGCATATGGAAAGCTTTAATTATTCGTCAATTAAGAAGTATTGATAACTCTCCCAAACTGCTAATCGACCAACACTTCACCTTTGTCATCTTACTTTTGCGTTTTTCTATAAATTCGGCTAAGTAGTTGAGTTGATCTTTAATTGAAATTCTTTCAAGATCGCCGAAGGCATACTTTTATGTATTCATTTAAGAGTATGTCGTTTACCTATTAATGTACATGCGGCTATCTGATCAAATGCTACCATTTTTGGCTCTTTTTTTTTTTACTTTTTCCCAGCTCAATATCTCCGGAAGTGATGCCGTGGGCCCGTTCAAGAGCAATGCTGAAAAGTGCATCGGAATTGGGAGGTCTAAAGTCATTAAAAATAAAAACGAGATGTGGTTGTTTCGTTGGATTGGGCACGATGGCAAGAGACTCCACTAAGGGAGAGGCAGTAAACGAAAATGTCTTCATAGCGACTTAATGGAGGGTTGTATTTGATGTGGAATAGGAGAATTGAGTGTCATGTACCTCATCGAGGAGCTAAGGTAGTGGTCCTTCCTTAAGTCCCGGGAATAGATTTCTTCCCTTGGGACTAAGGAAAGGGTCCTTTTCTATTGGAGCCCGTTTTCGTTCTTTAAGAATCTCTTCCGGTAATGGGGGGCCATATGTTGCGACAGTTCATATTGCATGAAGTAATCCAACTTTTTTGGGAGGGGAAGCTCCGGGGTGGGTGTAAAAGTTCAAGCGTAAATGTTAGCGCACACCCAGGGGTCCCCTCCCTTTGCAAAAATTGAATTTCTGTAGCCGGCAAGAACTGTCGCAGAACATGTCCTCCGTACTGGATGAGACCCCGTTCCTTTTTTTCGTCAGTACTTTCAAGCGCGACAAGTTTGTTGCACACCACATACCTACAATTTTATTTCTCTATGCTATCCTTACTACAGTATACAGTTCCTAATAGGTCTCTTGCCGAATGCCGGCTATTTACATTTTATACCCTTGCTATTTATTCTGTTCCTTTCATTCGTTTATTTTTTGTGTTTTTCTGACATTATTCAAGTGTGCGCGAACGCTGAGGAAGTATTGGGTCGAAGCATAATATCATAGCGCTCGCATTCCGGCAGAAACGTTTAAAAGCAAACTCAACAAAAGCAAAGCCAAATAAAGCCAATCAATGATGTGCTCTTCGTCATTATTTACGACTTTGATTCTATTTTCGGGAATTGCGAGAAATTACAGAATTCACAAGCGGGTACTGAGCCTGTATTCAGTTTCCTTATTACTCTCAATTTGTACGACGTGAATATGATTTGAAATTGAAAGGTCGACTGGAGTAAAGGTTTGACGATGACGATGATTCTGGAAACTCCTATTTTGGCAGATTTTTTTCTTTAAGTAGTTTTTCGCCACATAATGATTATCCAACTTCTAAGCACCATATCTGAGTACACTTACAGTCTAGAAGAAAATGACCAAACAATTGTGGTAGAGCGGAAGAAGTACTTTTCAAAAGGGATTATGTGACTTCCTGGGTAATACTTGTGCTCACTGAATTCGTGGCTCGATAAAAAAAAACGCTACGATATTATGCTCGAACCCATACTTATTCGCAACAGTTCTCAACACATGAAGATTGATGCAGCTTTTTACGGTGATCGTAAGTGATGAATGCTGGAACGGAAAGGGAAAGAGAAAAATGGAGGCTCTTTAATTAATGGTTGTTTAGTGAGACCGTTCTTAGCCCTTTTCCGTGTTTCAATTTTTTTCAAAAAAAAACAGGAAATGTGCACGTTATTTTAACAAGAGGGTCCTTCGTACAGTACGAAGTGCTTTTATTGACACGATACTGGCTTTTCATCGTATGCTCTTTGCTGTTGGCATAGGTGTTCGTTCGGGTCTAGGCGAAAGCTTTTCGCGAAGTGAATGTTCAACAGCTATTCATTTCGTTCTCGAACAGATGTGTCCGTCGTTCTTCTTCTTCTTCTTGCTGACGTTTTAACATCCTCGTTCTCTGGTTACTGAAAAGTCAAGAAACTGTTGATCACATCGCATATCTTGAAATAATCCTGGAATCCGACTTTAAGAGAATAATCCTGGAATCCGACTTTAAAATCGAATTCGTCGAACGTTTGCTTATTGTGCTTTCCCTGAAAAAAATTGCCGAGTGTGGCGAACGTCTCTGTTTGGGGCGCTTATTGAATTTTTGAAGGCTAAATCAAATATTGACGGAGATGTTTTTTGACGTTACTGAGGAGGTGCCGCACTGATAAAACACTGTTTTCAGAGGTGTAGTGTTGTGGCTTTATGGACGAGCACCATCACACGGCGACCAGCGGCGGCTCGACCTCGACGGCTGCGATGAATAATTCAACCACAGGTGGTGGTGGTGGTGGCGGCGGTGGTAGTGGCAGCCCGACGGGTGATTCTGGAAAGCACGATGAGGCCCGACTTAACGCCGATTCCGACGACGGTTCACAAGCTCAGGATCGCGGTAGTAAAGAGTAGCTCGATAGCAGAACACTTCCGGAGTTTGATAGCACCGACTTGAGCGGCAGAAATGCCAAGAGAGTGGTGTTGGGTTTCACCCAGGCCTTCCTGCTGATCAATTTGAAATTCGAGTGCGAACACTTTTTTCAAGGGGCTCATCGGGAGGGAAAATGCTTTGTTTTGTTTGTTTTCAGTTTTCTTAAGTCCCGGGAATTTGGGAATAGTATGTGATGGATAATTAGCGTTGGGAAGGGCTCATTACAAGGGTAAAGGTAGACAAATAGGCCTGAAGTCAAGTAATTTTTAGTTATTCTCTCCCAACGACTGAATGGTTCCCAACCGTTGCTGGCTCAAGTCTAATTTAAGTTTTAGAGTCTATCTTATGCGTATATATTTTTCAGGAAGATGTTCATCGGCGGTTTGAGCTGGCAAACAACGGCTGGTAAGTATCTTGGTTGTAACTGCTGCTGGCTGCGTCGACGGACGCTGTTGTTGTTTTGGTGAAGGGGGAAGGAACGGGAAGCGTGTTTTTTCGACAGTGATCATGCGATGATAGTTACCGGGTGATATGCATGTGTTAGGGCCGTCCAGATGGTTGGGATAACGGCCACTGGACGTGTTGTAAAACTGTTCTTTCAATAGCAGTTACATGGCATTCTGAGAGGGACTTCCTGGTTTTTGAGCGGTTTTTTTTTCAAATTCTCTGGTAAATCTAGTGGCGCGAAGAGTGAAAAGTTTCATTATGAACAGTTTGTTTGTATAGGAACTGACGCAAGGTAATGCGTAAGAAGTAGTGCAAATGAAGACACTCCCTCCGGGTTAAGCTCGCTCAAAAACCTGAAATGTGGCTTGCTTGTCGAGTGTCAAGTTTGTGGTGCTGGAAGTCCACATCGTTGGGATCGACCTTTAAAGGGAGGGGGTAAGGGGTTCTGGGAGAGATGTGAGCAATTCATGTTCTCCATAGCGTTTTTTTCTTCTGGGCCAGTCCTAGTGTCACATACCATCGACCCTGTTTTGAATGTCCCCTTGAAGACATGAGCGCCGTTGTGTGGCTTCAAAGCCGGAGTTCACGAAGAAAAGGTAGCCTACCAGAAGTCATGGTAAAGGTGGGCTGTGATGCAGGGATGGGGAACCCCTTCCCCCCCCCCCAAGTCGCCCTACACCCGGAGAACAGGACCCCTTGCTGCTGATTGAATTGGGCGTTAGGCGTGTAATATCGATGCTGACCTCATCAGCGCTCCATCTGCTACAGTCAGTCGGAGAGGGAGTGGGCGGGCAGCGGCGTGGGTATGGCCCTGCCAGGATGGTAGGGCCTGCTTTTCGCTGCAAATGCGTATCGTTATACACTCTGAGAGGGTCGCCTGCCTCTTGGCTAGGTATGAGCTTATCGGTGGTGACGGGCGACCTCGTGCTCTGCTGACGATGGTGGTAGTTAGCACTACCCTGCTTTCGTGCATAGAGCAACGCTCAGGGAGGTGTTTTTCCCCAAAAAAATGTACATGTACGCGCCACCTCGTGCGACGTTAGCTTCACATACTCTCTTGAACAAGACGACTTATTTGATCATTATCTTGTCCGGAATGGAAAGCTTTGGGTTCTGTAATTTTACTTGTGGCAATTGACTGAATATCGGTTTTTATCAGGTCTAAATCCTTTGGTTTTCATGAACGCAGAATCCCCATTGTTTTTTTCTGGAAGCCAGTGCATCCACCTCGACGTCACGAGTCATGAAAGGGAATATTTCAGCATGTGATTATCTGACGATCAAAGGCAGTAATGTGTTTTGATGGTGTTCGGCTTGGGCTGGTTCCTTCTGTGGCTGGCCGTTGTAGTCGTCGCCGCATCGATTCCCATCGGGTACTAAAAACATGCCCGCCGTATCCACAAACACAATCTGGGGGTGAGAAACACATTAGTAAGACAGAAAGTTTGAAATATTTTGGAAAATCTTAGGGTGCGGTGGAGCTAGTTTGATGAATTGGATTTGAGTTTTCATTGTGAAATTAGTCATAAAGGAATTCCGGTATTTCTCCTACAATTGTATAGGTCGCATTCAAAATCGCAATACAGTGGACGTAGAATGCGTGGCTCGCGTCAAAAAGGGGTTGGCCACAGCCGAATTCTTTTTGATCCTTTTTTGTGCGCCGTGATAGGGTTACCGAGTAAAATGTGTAATTTAGGTAGTTTATAGGGTGGTTTTCTACTTATTGAGCGGTAGTTTTTGGATGGAAAATATCTATACAATTCCTTGAAAGTTTTTTGAATGAATCGGCAGAGGTATTTTCAGAGGGCCTTCGCGACTATTTTGGCCGTTTCGGTGAGGTTAACGAGTGTATGGTTATGCGGGACCCAGCGACTAAACGGGCTAGGTAAGCTCATATGGTGTGCTGTTCTTACTCTTTCCTTCCCTTGAGATTCCAAGCATTTTGCTTAACACGTTGACGCCCGTTGTGCGCGCATCTCGGCAACTTTTTGTTTATTATTTTCAAATAGACATTACTCCTTCAACAATTCCACCACTGTTAATTGGTGCACAGTTTTCCGGATAAGATGATGCATCCAGACAGTTTTGAAATATGAAAAATGCCAAATAAACCGACCAAAACGAGCCCCATCCGATGAAAATCTGACGCGCATGCGCGTCATGCTGTCGTCAGCGTGTTAAATTTTCTCTCCTGATATCCTTTTGCTTTCTTTTGGATGCCACCTTTTTTGCTTCTTTCTGTATATCAACCTTCCTCTCTCTTTCTGTTTACCATTCTCCTGCTGTTCCTTCCTCTCCGTCTTTTGATCCCCTTTACTGCGGTACTTTTTTAATCTCTCGACAAGCAATTTTCTCTTGACAAAGCGCTTCATTCGACTCAAAATCATTCCTGCAGGACTACAAGAAAGATTTATCATAGTTCTCTCAAGTATTTTCGTCATTTTGCTGCTTTATTTATTATCAATTCGTCCTTGGAAGGATGTACATATATGCATGAATTTTGAATAGTTGAACATTTATTGAAGATTCTTTTCGATTCAGCCATAGCCTGTTCGCTTTCAGAGGCTTCGGGTTTATCACATTTGTCGATCCGGCTAGTGTAGATAGGGTATTGGCTACTGAGGAGCACGAATTAGATGGCAAAAAGGTAAATTTTAGGTTCACTTTGGTTTTACGTCCGTTCATAGGAAAGCGTTTGCATCTAAAATTTGTCTCTATATCATCGATCGTATATTGTTTTGGTTCTTGAGGCATAAAATTTTTAATGAAATCGTTTCGTTCACAAAGTGAGGAAGTCGAATCCCAAAACACTCGTAATCGCTGGGGCGAGGTACTTTATGGCCGATGTATCAGACTTGTTGCGAGATCGCGCGATTCGTACTAGCGATCGCGCGATGCCGTACCTGGCAATCGGTCGAGTTAGCGGTCAAATTAGTGGTTTACTTCCGCGACGCGACGGCGCAGCGCTAGGATCGCGCGAACTCGCATAGTCTGACATCGGCCTATAGTGAGAAATTCATATAGGTTAGCGGTAAGGGGTCATAATTGAATCCTTAGGGAGAATGTTGCGAATTTTGCGAAGGCAGGGCGTAACCTTATAGAGAAAATACTTGAAATGGATGGTGGAAATGCTTTGGTCGCTGCGCATTCGTACTTCTGGTTTCTATAATATTTTCCAATTAAATCCTGAGCGGTGCTACCGCTTGAAGTGAAATAGTATAGCATTGTTTTGTAATTTATGTTGGATACATCTTCAAATCTAATTCATGCTCTGAAGGATACATCTTTAAATCATTTTGCGCCCACCATCAGTCTCTGTTTTCTTGTAATCTTCTTTTTTTCAGATTGATCCGAAGGTCGCTTTTCCAAAGAGATCGCAAACAAAGGTAAGTTATGCAGTGCATTTTACAGATGATGATGCCACAGATTTTTTATTTCATTGTGGGGATTTAATTGCTCAGACAAGGGTCCAGTGATCCGTCGGCATCAGACATGAACGTTCCAAGAATAATTCATGAGTAGCATTCCCTCCGTATTGTGTTGGTTGATACTGGTTATAACTGCATTGGTAAAGGGGTGAAGTGAACCTGTGCGGTTTGTTGTATTTGCGAAAAAGAGATTGTTAGTAGTAGAACTATGAGGAATAACTAATGAGGAGCATACAATCTGCTGTCATGCGATTCGAATTTTTTTCACAGATGGTATTGGATCAAGAATTAGCGGTCCTGCAAAAAATTGTTTCGAAACATTAACGTTCTTCGTGCATATCTTTGTGATTTTTCACACTCCTCCTCTTATCAACTAGTGAGACGTGGATAAGCTAACCATAAGCTCCTCATATCCAATGGATAAAAACGACAGAAGCGCTCAGGCAAGAGGAGCTATATGGCTCTACGGCTAAGAAGGTTGTTGGAGAGCAAGGCGTGTACGAACTTGAAGAGCATTACGCAGGGTCTTTTTTTGGGAGTTTGTGATAGTCTACCTTTTTAAGTACATTCATAGGATACAGCACCTTTTCTCGTTTTATTTTACGTAAGTAATTCTTTGCGCTCTGCTTATTGGAAAGGGTTCGTGCCATAACAACAAACATGCTTGTTTAAATAGACAAAGCCAAATTCAAACAAAAGAATATTTGGGTACAAAATCACCAATTTTTCATCGTGTGATGATCGTTTGAATTATTGGCTTCTTCTCGGATACTTTTTAAAGGTTAACCGGCCGACAAGATTTTTCAGCAATCTTTAACACATTAACGGCAGCCTGTTGGGCGTGTACCTCGGCTTTTTTTTATAATATTTTGTGAAAACTAGCGCTACCCCTCCAACGTTTTCGTTACCGGTTGTGTATCTAAGTTATTCCATATCCAATAATGTGAGCGGGCAGCTTTCTAGTATAAAGAATGTCAAGTAAATTGAGCAAAAACTTGCCCATTCACGCGAAATTCTGACACGCATGCGCGTCATGCTGTCGTCAATGTGTTAATGCTTGCCGTTCAATGGGAATCAGAGGTCGAAGCTTGCAACTTTGTTTTCCTATTGGTCCTGCTTGATATATAATTTTTCGCTATGTTATCTGAGAGCTAGTTGTCATTTCCAGTCTAGTCTCATTCCAATTGTCAATCCCAGATCGAAATGCAAAAAGGATCGCTAAAAAGGCTAGGACATCATCCTGAACCTTCATCCTCTGAATTTCTCCCTGTGCACTTTTTAGGCATCCAGCGAGAACATGATCCCTTGTGCACATGTTTTGTTGGATGATGTTGATGGTGTAATATTTTCTTTTCTTCATCTTCCTGACCTGAAAAGCAGTTCAATATAACCATCTAATGTAACGCCTTGAGCCTGCGCGGTCAACGGACCTTTTAGCCCATATTTAAACAAATATTGTGTTTTTCTTTGTTTTCATTCCGTTAGATAGGAATTCCGCATCACACAAGAGGTTTTTTTCCAATTTGC